GGAGTGAGGGATGACTCGAGCCTAACACAGGGTGACAGGAGGGAGTGAGGGATGACTCGAGCCTAACACGGGGTGACAGGAGGGAGTGAGGGATGACTCGAGCCTAACACGTGGTGACAGGAGGGAGTGAGGGATGACTCGAGCCTAACACGTGGTGACATGAGGGAGTGAGGGATGACTGGAGCCTAACACGGGGTGATAGGAGGGAGTGAGGGATGACTCGAGCCTAACACGGGGGGATAGGAGAGAGTGAGGATGACTCAGGCCCTAACACAGGGTGACAGGAGGTGAGTTAGCTCGAGCCTAACAGGGGTGACAGGAGGTGAGGATGACTCGAGCCTAACACGTGGTGACAGGAGGGAGTGAGGGATGAGCTCGAGCCTAACAGTGGGCGATAGGAGGTGAGGATGACTGCAGGCCCTAACACAGGGTGACAGGAGAGTGAGGATATTTCGACCTCACGTGGTGACAGGAGGTGAGGGATGACTCGGGGAGCTGGCACGTGGTGACAGGAGGTGAGGGATGGCTGGAGCCCTTTGGGTGATAGGAGGGGTGAGGGGATGACTCGGGAGGGCTAACACAGGGGTGACAGGAGGAGTGAGGGATGACTCAGGCCTAGCACGGGGTGACAGGAGGGGGAGTGAGGGATGACTCGAGCCTAACACGTGGTGACAGGAGGGAGTGAGGGATGACTCGAGCCTAACGCGGGGTGACAGGAGGGAGTGAGGGATGACTCGAGCCTAACATGAAGCTTTATAACGAATTGAACCTTCCTGACTCACTTTGTATAGCGGAGGTGACAAGTCCTGGCTGGCAGGATATTATCTACTAACATGATGGTAAAGGTGAAGCAGGGAATGACAGACGGGATATTATCTACTAACATGATGGTAGAGGTGAGGTAGGGAATGACAGACAGGATATTACCTATTAACATGATGGTAGAGGTGAGGCAGGGAATGACAGACAGGATATTACCTATTAACATGATGGTAGAGATGAGGTAGGGAATGACAGGCAGGATATTACCTACTAACATGATGGTAGAGGTGAGGCAGGGAATGACAGGCAGGATATTACCTACTAACATGATGGTAGAGGTAAGACAGGGAATGACAGGCAGGATATTATCTACTAACATGATGGTAGAGGTGAGGCAGGGAATGACAGGCAGGATATTACCTACTAACATGATGGTAGAGGTGAGGCAGGGAATGACAGGCAGGATATTACCTACTGACATGATGGTAGAGGTGAGGTAGGGAATGACAGACAGGATATTACCTACTAACATGATGGTAGAGGTAAGACAGGGAATGACAGGCAGGATATTGCCTACAAACATGATATTCTTGTTGTTATTCTTCTAAATACTAAACAAAAGATGCGAGAATAATTAGCACAAGTTAATTTTACAGGAAAAAAAACAAATATATATATATATATATATATATATATATATATATATATATATATATATATATATATATATATATATATATATAATTCATTCATATATTACATCATTTATATTATATGAATCATGACACACATTTGTAAATTATAAATTGAAGGTGAAATCAAAAGCAAATATGGTTATAGATTAATTAATTATAAAATATGAATATATATTTTGTACATATTTAATCTCTTGCCGTGTCCAGTCCTACCTAATATTGTGAACAGTTGGTCAGTAAACACACATACACTCACACACACACACACACACACACACACACACACACACACACACACACACACACACACACACACACACACACCATGATATACTAAGTGAGTCAAACAGATATACTGTATCTCCCATTGTCAGAACACTTACTCATATAATAAAAGCCCTAGTTCATCACAACACAAGATAAAGTCGATTCAGGTGACCAGGATATCAGATATGTATATGTGTGTGTGTGTGTGAACTCACATCATGTTGGAAATAAAAGTCTGAGAACATCATGTCGACCTTCAGATAGTCAACACCGAACACACACTGTCAATATCTGGCTTTCAAAAATACTTCGAGATAAAAAAGATTAATTAAAAAAAAATATGGCGAGATTTGTGAATATGCAATGACTGTGACCTCCCTTGTGTGTTTACTAATGACCCTGACCTTCCTTGTGTGTTTACTAATGACCGTGACCTTCCTTGTGTGTTTACTAATGACCGTGACCTTCCTTGTGTGTTTACTAATGACCGTGACCTCCCTTGTGTGTTTACTAATGACCGTGACCTCCCTTGTGTGTTTACTAATGACCGTGACCTTCCTTGTGTGTTTACTAATGACCGTGACCTCCCTTGTGTGTTTACTAATTACCGTGACCTCCCTTGTGTGTTTACTAATGACCGTGACCTCCCTTGTGTGTTTACTAATGACCCTGACCTCCCTTGTGTGTTTACTAATGACCGTGACCTCCCTTGTATGTTTACTAATGACCGTGACCTCCCTTGTGTGTTTACTAATGACCGTGACCTCCCTTGTGTGTTTGAAAGAGTCAGCAGGTGAGGAAAATCTTGTTATAGGAAATTAAACCCAGGGAATGGGAGGCTACTGAGGTCTGTGTCCACTTCCCCCACCACAATGTGTGAGAGGAACGAAGAGAAATACATGAAAGGTAAAAGGGATGGACATATTGGGTTATAGTGAGTGTGTGTGTGTGAGTGTGTGTGTGTGTGTGTGTGTGTGTGTGAAGACTATGTGCACGAGGAGAAAGGGGAGGTATTATCCACACAGGGAGACTCTGGGGTGATAAGAGTAAAGAAAATAAGATATGTACTGGGTTGGGTGTTGGAGTGACATGCTGAGGTGTGTATGTAGCCCCCACACTACCAGTTAGCCCCAACCCTGTGTAGCCCCCCACACCAGTTAGCCCCAGCCACCATGTAGCCCCACACTACCAGTTAGTCCCAACCCTGTGTAGCCCCACTACTGGTCCCAACCCTGTGTAGCCCCACACTGCCAGTTGAATTCCCAGCCCTGTTGGCCCACACTACCAGTTAGTCCCAACCCTGTGTAGCCCCACACTACCAGTTAGTCCCAGCCCTGTGTACCCCCACGCTACCAGTTAGCTTCAGCCCTGTGTAGCCTCCACACAACAGTGCTTTAATCCGTGTAGCCCCACATTATATCAGTTACCCTCAGTCCTATGTAGCCCCCACACTACCAGTTAGCCCCAGCCCTGTGTAGCCCCCACACTACCAATTAGCCCCAGCCACCCTCTCCTCACCTGCTCCCACAGCTTGAAGGTCTACCGTAATTCAACAGTAGTCAATAGTAATGAGAACTTAAGCCTCACTACATTCTGCCCAGCCACCACTTCCCTCACACCTCACCTCTCACCCACCAACAACACACCACCACTTCCCTCACACCTCACCTCTCACCCACCAACAACACACCACCACTTCCCTCACCTCTCACCCTCCAACAACACACCACCACTTCCCTCACCTCTCACCCACCAACAACACACCACCACTTCCTCACCCCTGCCCCACCAACAACACACACCACTTCCCTCCACCTCTCTTATCAACAACACACCACCACTTCCCTCACCTCTCACCCTCCAACAACACACCACCAACATTATCTCCACCATATCAGGAGGGAGGGGTCGTCTCTGTGTGTGTTTAGTATATAATTAAATTCATATTGTAATAACTTCTTTTTAATACATTATCCAGTGGTCAAGGTCTATCTCTCATGTGGTGAGGAGTTCATGGTTAGTGATGGAGGCACTGACCACCCACACACACACACCCACACACACGCACACACACACCCACACACACACACACACACACACACACACACACACACACACACACACACACACACACACACACACACACACACACACACACACACACACACACACACACACACACACACACACACCCTATAACACCAAAGTGACAAAGAAGGTACAAAATATATAGATGAAAAAGAGGCAAAACTGAATGTAAATTTGATCAATAAAAGTTTTATGCAAATATGGTACGTCCGAGGCTGTGTGGTGATGTGGTAGTGGTGGAGACTCTGGCACTGTGGTAGAGGAGTCTGGCACTGTGGTGGAGGCTGTGGCACTGTGTCAGCCGCCAGATATATCATCATGTATGAGGTCGTCTCTCTGAACCAAGTTTTTAACAATACTTTTGAAATATTCTTAACAGCTGCGGTGAAGAGAGGGGGAGTGTAGCTGTGAGAGAGGGAGAGAGGCAGGTAGAGTTACGGTAGATTGAAAATATCTACTACTTTTTGAGAGTTCTTCCTCAAGACACTTGGCACACCTCTGCATGAAGACACAACAAAACACAAACGAGAAAACAAGAGAATGACGTCACGTTTACCAACACGACCTCATTACTGAACTGTCAACCATCAGTTTTGTGGTGCAGCTGACCCCGCTTACTGGACTCCACAGCCACAGCTTACACACCTAATGCAACGCCATCTTCGCGAAGTATGTAAGGCAGTGTGTATGTTTTTTGAGACGCTCTGTATATATATATAAATTTGGGCCGTATCTAAACCTATATGGTAACACCTACGGTACACAGAAGACACACTCGTATACGCCTTGAAGGAGGACATCAGTAAGACTATGAGTGTTTCCTGAGGGGTGACTACTGGACCATACCTTTCGGGAAGAACGTTAAGACGGACACTGAAAACCTCCGTCTCTTAAAATCCATCACATTTACTCAAACCTTTTGAGAAACTTTCGGTAAAATGTAACTATTTTTCCTTTCCGACCCTCAGGACAAGTTTTCTTTTGGAGAATCATCCATTTTTTGTGTGAATGAATAGTGCACGGAGAGACTGGAGTAGTTTTGTTGTTTGCTCACCAAGATGTGTCCCTGTTGGAAAATTTAAAGACATGAAGTTTTGTGCTGCTTGATTTAGGGAGAACACAGTAACCAGGAGTTCCACACGTCTACAAGATCAAGAGGCATATTTAGAGTGTGTTTATATCTTGAACATGGAGTGCGGCGGCCGAGTGAATACAGCGCTTGATTACTGTCTCAATTGTCACTGGTTCGATCCCGGAGTACTTCCACTTACACCCAGCTTTACAAGTTGGAGAAGTGAAGGCGATCTAGTGCAGTACCTGCCGCCCCGCCCCCTTGCGATTTTTTTTATCTCTGAAAATTATTACTTTTACTAGAACCTGTTGGCAAAAACGTCTATTTTTCCTGTCACTCTTACTGTAACTCGTTGGCTAAAACGCTAAGAAGAAAACATCTGTACGTTTATGAGGACTCTAATAGTAAAATGTAAATTCAAACTACTTTTACCACAAACTTTTAAAAAACTCTTCATGAAGTTATTTATTTTTTCAGCCTAAAAAAAATTAACAGTGACGTTCAAAGGGTCGACCATTGATAGCCTCAAGTGGAAGTCTTTAAGTCCTCTGAGGAAAAATGTTACTTGCCAGAAAAAAGTGGCTGGTGATCCATGGCTTTAGGGGTAAACCAACCATCCAGGAAGGATTATGGCCGCCATCTTAGTTAAACCACCATTCTTACAAGAAACTCGTTAACCTTTTATCGCAGTAGAAGTTCCTCCCAAGGCTCTCAGAATAGCACCTTCCTACAAGTACAGCATTCGACTTATAGTCATCTACTTTAAAAGAAAACTATTTTTTACAAAAACTCTGAACAAAGTTATACCACATCTTTGTTTCCATTTTTTTTTAAGAAAACTCCTTCACGAGCACTTAAAGAATAACGCATGTACGAGTACAACCTCAAGGGAAACACTTGAAGTGCTCTTTCACAGAAAAAACTTCTCTTATAGTAAACTAGCGCTAAACTCTTGGTAAAATACTTGTATGTTTAGTTGTGGCCCACGAGGCGACTCTTCCCGTGGAGACCAACCGAGCTCAGGGGACACTTGTTTTTTAAATCCTTGACCAAAATAAAGAAATTATTTCAACGTTACACCATAAGGGAATTGGTGCCACGACCCCAGGTAATAAGGACGATCACTACACGACCCCAGGTAACAAGAACGACCACTACACGACTCCTGGTAACAAGGACGACCCCAGATAACAAGGATGACCACTACACAACCCCGGATAACAAGGACGACCACTACACGACTCCTGGTAACAAGGACGACCACTACACGACTCCTGGTAACAAGGACGACCACTACACGACCCCAGATAACAAGGATGACCACTACACAACCCCGGATAACAAGGACGACCACTACATCGACTCCTGGTAACAAGGACGACCACTACACGGTCTCAGATAACAAAGGACGACCACTACACGACCCCAAGTAACAAGGACGACCACCACATCACGTCTCCTGGTAACAAGGACGACCACTACACGGACCCCAAATAAAGACGACCAATACACAACCCCCGGATACAACAAGAACGACCACTCTACGACCCCTTGGTACGCGGAGCATTACACGACCCCCAAGTAACAAGGACGACCACCACACGACCCCAGATAACAAGTACGACCATCAAGGCATCACCCTGGATAACAAGGACGACCACTACATCGACTCCTGGTAACAAGGTGGAGCATTACACGACCCTAAGTAACAAGGACGACCACTACACGACCTAAGTAACAAGGACGACCACTACACGACCCTAAGTAACAAGGATTAACCACTACACGACTCCTGGTAACAAGGTGGAGCATTACACGACCCCAAGTAACAAGGACGACCACTAATGACGCAAGTAACAAGGACGACCACTACACGACCCCAAGTAACAAGGACAACCACTACACGACTCCTGGTAACAAGGTGGAGCATTACACGACCCCAAGTAACAAGGACGACCACTACACGACCCCAAGTAACAAGGACAACCACTACACGACTCCTGGTAACAAGGTGGAGCATTACACGACCTCAAGTAACAAGGGCGACCACTACACGACCCCAAGTAACAAGCACGACTCCACTACACGACTCCTGGTAACAAGGTGGAGCATTACACGACCCCAAGTAACAAGGGGGGGCGACCACTACACGACCTCAAGTAACAAGGACGACCCACTACACGACTCCTGGTAACAAGGTGGAGCATTACACGACCCCAAGTAACAAGGACGACCACTACACGACCCCAAGTAACAAGGACAACCACTACACGACTCCTGGTAACAAGGTGGAGCATTACACGACCCCAAGTAACAAGGACGACCATTACACGACCCCAAGTAACAAGGGCGACCACTACACGACCCCAAGTAACAAGGACGACCACTAGTGACAGCGGCTCACCACATCCTGAAGCAATTAAGTGATCCGCCACATTTCACGGTGGATGGGGGTGAACAAGTGGCTTCTCTTCACCACAAATGACCCGTAAGCCAACGTGTTCCTCCTGCTGAATAGAACCGGAGGGCGGAGGAGAGACGGCCTCCTGACGGTACCCAGAGGACACGGGAGAGAGACGGTGAGAAATCTTGTTAAGGGAGGAGAGAGAGAGAGAGAGAGAGAGAGAGAGAGAGAGAGAGAGGACACTGAAACAAACATAATAGTAATGTTGGTATATTTCTCGTCACCAACGGAAATGTTGTAAGGTAAGTCTCCTCAGCTACAACACTCGCCGTATATGTGACCAGGTTATCATGGTCTCCCCTGAGAATATGCACATAAAAAATACGAGTTCATTCCTTCACTTGAATTCCCTATCGGGACGCTTTTGCACCCGAGAAGAAAGTTGATGTAAAAATGGGACTCCTTGTCTACGTAGGAATCTAGGAATCGTATTTAGGACGTCATCAGATAAAGCAAGAGACTTCGTATACTATCAGGATCCTTAGTGGGAAATAATGTTCTTGTAAATAAGGGAGATTTAACTTACGTTGGAAGTGTATTGATATTACGAGACAAACTAAGAGTGTAGGAGAGAGTTAATATCATCACATAGAAGAAGACTCGCCTGTGTAAACACGTGGCGTCTCCTCCTACGTGGGAAGTCTATTAAAGACCCCTATTAGACAAACGAAGAATCTTAGCGTAAAAATTGGACTCCACTCCTACGTAGGAATCCTATTAAGTGTCTCATTATCCTTGGGGGCTGTGGTGTGGGGGGGGGGCGACCTCATCAGGTGCAGGACACAGGAAGGAAAACTATGAAAATAAACTCACTTTCACTGAGACAGAAACCCACTAAAATTATATATAAAAATAAATTACAGAAACTGGTAGAAGACAGAGAATGGCAGACGGGGAAAATCCAGTGAGTTTTAATGTATTATTTTTACCTTTATTTTATCCTTGTATTTTTTTTCCTTTAAGCATTTTAAAGGAGAATAAAAAAGCCAGGAAATGAACTTTGACGACGTGTTTACGCCACCAGACTCCATTAAGGTGTTTCTGAGACAGTGAGGTGAAAAATGACGCGTCTTATTTGGGACAGTAGAAGACATGGATGGATGACCTGTTCTCCTCTAGATATAGTGGCATTATGAGAAGATTAGGCATCCCAGGTTATGTTACTTGATAATAAAACAATCTAACCTAACCTAACCAAGGCACTCGTCTAACGCACAACACAAACGCAACATCGGAAAAGGCAAAATGGAGTTTCTGTGTTTAAAAGCAAAATCGCTCCGCACGCAATCAATTAGCAACGAAGCCTTATGATCCCTGGCTAAATCTTTTTAATTGAACTTTTGCAACCCTGCCATTGCACTCCTCACTCATCCTGCAACCTGTCGTCACCGAGAAATACATCATGTTGTCTTTCCTCCCTCAGTGAGATGTGTCTACCCCGTCTCTACTGCTGACCCTAGTGTGTTATACAACAATAATAATAATAACAACAAGAACATTTACTATATAGTGATAATGATAATAAATTACATTGAATATAATAATTTTTATTATTGTTATAATGATCATTATGCAGTAACAATAACTTATGTGACGTAAATCAGGCATCTAGGTGACGCAGATTACAACTCTTTGTGACGCAAGCCACCTCCTGCAACATGGCCACTCTCACCCTCGCTCACAACCACAAATTCTATTACCAAACTTTTGCATCTCGTTCTCCGCTGACAGGCTTGTAAATTTACTCTAAACTAAAAAAGAAAAATATATATAACTAAATTCACAAGACAAATTAGAGAAAGTAGTGAAAGGTGTTCAGTAGGAGTGTGTTAACTTCTGTTTTGAATACAACACGTCACTCTCTTTCTCGTCGACCATGGAAGACCAAGCTGGAATCCAATCTTCATCGAAAACCATTGCGTTGGGGGACAGGAAGGGCGTGAAGGAGAGATGGGGGAGGAGGGAAGAAAGAGAGGAAGAGGAGGGGTAGGGAGAAACGAGAGGGAGGAGGATGTGATGGAAAGGTGGGGAGAGGGGAGGAATGAGAGGGAGAGGGAAGTGACGGACAAGGAGGGGAGAGGGAAGGAACGGAAGGGAGGGGAAGGGAATGACATGAATGAGAGGGAGGGGGTGAGGAGGGAGGGTGTGGAGGTGAGAGGGAACGGGGTATGTGTAATTAGATTTTTGTCTTGTCTTGTGTGTGTGTGTGTGTGTGTGTGTGTGTGTGTGTATATCAAAACGTTAGTTGAGTGGATTAAATATGACATGACACTGATTTTTCGTCCTATAAACACACACACACACGCACGCACACACCACAAAACAATATCGTACCAACTTTAAGCACCTCACCTCACCTCACCTCACCTCACCTCACCTCATCTCACCTCACCTCACCTCACCTATAACTCACAAAAGCCAAATATGACCGCAGGTAAGTCACTCTGATACAGGTGTGTTAATAATACCGGGGTACTTAATCACTACCAGCTGTCATGTTTACCTGAGATGCATACCCTTGTACCCACCCACCTCTGTATGTCACTGTCAGTACCACACAGGAGGAGAGGGAGGATGAGTGGAGATGTGAGAGGGATCAGGGAGGATAAGGTGTGTTTAGAGAGGGATCAGGGAGGATAAGGTATGTTTACAGAGGGATCAGGGAGGATAAGGTGTGTTTAGAGAGGGATCAGGGAGGATAAGGTATGTTTAGAGAGGGATCAGGGAGGATAAGGTGTGTTTAGAGAGGGATCAGGGAGGATAAGGTGTGTTTAAAGAGGGATCAGGGATGATAAGGTGTGCTTAGAGAGGGATCAGGAAGGATAAGGTATAGTTTAACTTCTGTGTGTGTATGTGCGTGTGTGTGTCTGTGCGTGTATGTATGTGTGTGGTTATCTGTAAGTGTGTATTGACCTACACACACACACACACACACACACACACACACACACACCCGCCTTGTGACATCATAAAGTTACATATCACTCATCCCAAAGTTAGTGAAGCAGCTTCCTCTCCACGTAACCCAACCCTTCCTTCCCGCCCTGGAGTTTCTGCCACTCATCCCCCCCCCCCAGAAGGTGAACATATCCGGGACTTCCTCGCAACCTTGTAACTTATTTATGTCCGTTTTTACTTGCCTTCCGTGCGTCCGTGAGTCCGTAATTCCGTGAGTTCATGTGTCCTTGAGTTCATAATTCCGTGAATTCTTGTAGCCGTGAGTCCTTTGTCAGTGAGTGTGTGTCCGTGAGTATTCGTACGTTTGTTCAATCCGTGCGTCCGTGAATCCAAGGTTTTCCCAGTTTACTTTTTTCCCTGTAGGTTTTTTCTGAATATTTTCCCGTAAAGGTTTTCTGTGGCAGGTGGGAATGTTCCTGTGTTTTTTCCCGGTATTTTTTCCTTTATTTAATTTTGGTGTTTTTATTTCCAGTGTGGTTTTTCCTGTGTGTGTGTGTGTGTGTGTGTGTGTGTGCATCCATTTAGTTCAGAGAGAGAGAGAGACAGACACAGAGACAGAGAGGGAGAAATAGAGAGATGAAAAGAGAAAGAACAAAGACAAATAGATAGACTGACAGAGAAATAGATAGAGAAGGGGAGAGAGAGAGAGAGAGAGAGAGAGAGAGAGAGAGAGAGAGAGAGAGAGAGAGAGAGAGAGAGAGAGGTGGAAGAAAAAGATAGATGAAGAGAAACAGAAAGACAGAGAGAGACTCGTAACTTAAGTGAAACATCTCTTGTTACTGAAGAAAAAAAACATAATATAAATCTTTGAGAATCTATCTTGTATCGAAGCTTAAGTGGGGCATAAACACTCCCTCTCATATCACAAACCAGTTGAAAATTTAAGCTGCCTCGTGAAGTCTTTTAGAATCCAAATTTTCGTTGTAACTTAATTCGGCAAAGAGTCCAGCAAAAAAAAAAAACTCACTATTTTTTCTTTTGCATTTGCTTTCGTTTTCTCGCCTTCAATAGAGAGAAAGTGAAAATTTTGCCTGGGGAGCGTCTTAGAATACAACATTTTACCGTGTGTTAAGTAAGTCAGTTAGTTACGTTCTCACATCTCCAGTAAGTGGAAAATTTTGTCGTTCGAGCCTTTGAGAATGTGGCTTGAGGCGGGAGGGCGAGGCACTCAACTCTACATTTTAAATCATGGTGGAGACTTGTCCTACCCAGGTGACCAGAGAGCGTGAAATTACTGCCTCCCTCACCCTCATGTTGGTGGTACTGATGTTGTTGTTGGTAGTGATGTTGTTGTTGTTGGTAGTGATGTTGATGTTGTTGTAAGCGATGTTTTTGTTGTCAGTGACATGGTTGGTTTTAACAGTAATTAGATAACAATTAGAACAAGAAAAACAAGAATGGAAAATAAAAAGATTTATTAAATAATAATAATAATAATAATAATAATAATAATAATAATAATAATAATAATAATAAAAAAATAGTGGAACAATGTTGACAACTTGTTAGGGCCGCCCCTCTCCAGTGAACACTTTACATGGCGGTATTTGTTCACGAGGTGTGTGTGTGTGTGTGTGTGTGTATGCCCTGGAGGTGATATTGACAAACGTCTTATTGGAAACAACATTAACTTGCTTCTCAATATTTCTTCTGCCACAAAAATACCAAAACACAGAAATCAGATATTTCATTCATTTTCTCAGTGCTGTGCTAAGTTCTTTTGTTTGTCATTTGTTTCTAGTATACTAATTCAATTCCATCAGGGGTTCGGAGGTTCGGGGGGGGGTTCGGGATTCAGGGTGTTAGGTGTATTTGGGGTTCTCTAATAGATATCATGCATGTGAGCTCAGGATTCAGATGGTCCACTTTCTTTATTATTCTGAATTACATAACAGTTCTAGAATCGTTGACGTCATAATGTTATCACTACGCTTCAACAGGTAAGGTCTTTAGGCAGGTAACATGCTT